TTAGGTTAGGTTCACGCCACGAAAAGTCCACAGGCTGAACACGAAGCGACTTTGCACGGGTCGGCGGCAACAATTCAGGTGGTTAATTGCGACAAATGTCAAGTTTTGGAGCTCAGCAGTAAGAGAAATTCTGCACTCAGGCACACCAACACCAGGTTCTCCGGTTACTTGCTCGCAGTTCGAATTTTCTCTACGCGAGAGCAGTCTCGACGGTACCTGAAGGCCGGCTGTCACTCATTGCCCTTAGCTCCTCGAGAAAAACACGGACTTCCTTGGACGAGCCTCTCATCCTTTTCCAAGAATTCTAAAAAAAACCATCGCCTGGTTGTTCCCAGGTATTAACGTTATTGTACGTACAGACACACATACGAAACGTCGACGCTAACTGAACTATAATGAGAATGCAGATCAATCAATGCTTAATTACAAAAACCTTTCATCTCTCTGAAGTTCGGGTTCAGAAGAGACTGGAAGGCGACAAATAGACTACCCGCGGGACACACACTTGGCCGACTTGAAATTAAGAACAACAACAACCCCTGATAACAGGAAACTTGCAGAATTCCTGAACGATGTATTCGATTTAGTTATATCATTTAAGGACGTCGGTAGTTCTCAGTGGAATCCAGACATTCTGAAATGCTGGCAGTCGCCATTTCATAATCTCCCATCAACTGACTGCCCTTCACTGCAGCAGAAGTGCGTTTGCACTGTTCTTACGCAATCCGACTCCTCCGAACATCGTCTTCCTGCGATACGCGTCAGATCCGGGCTTCACGGGTGTGATAAAGCAGGTATGTCTGACCGCGGAGGCCCGGCTTCGCGCCCCGGTCAGTCGTTGAGGGATTTGTGGTCGACAGAGCGGCACTGGCACTGCCCCCCACCCCGCGTCCAACAGACAAAGGGCCCGTCATCGGCCGAGTTCCAAATTCTCGAGTCTCACCCCCTCGTGTCCTTGCCTGCCCAGTCCTTGAAGCAAATAACGAGAAACTCTGTACCCCTGTTGGTAATTTGTTAATGAATAAACAGCCTACCAAGTGAAAGAGAGTAATTTGCTCGCAAAAACACGATGAATCCAAGCGAAACAAATGAGCCCCTTTGTTTTGCCGTAGATTCCTATCAACGCGCGGACCTCGTTTCTACTAAGTGAGAAGCCGTCGTACCGACTGACGGCCGAAGGTTCTGCAGGTCAGAGCGGACTGAATTTCTTCGTTCAAAATCGATCGAGCGGTTACGCAGTGGTCACAGCGGAACGAGCGCTGACACGGTCACTTTACTACTCGTCTGTGGGCGCGTTCTGAAACACACTTTCGACACGCGATGGGCCTGTACGGCCGTCGTCGGATTTCTACTGTTCTGGGTCGCCCGATCATCTTTCTGTAGCGATACATAAAAAGTATTTAATAATCGCACAGAATGTATTCAAGCCCTCCTCCAACGCGTGAAAATAAATGCTGTTTAACATCGGTTTGTTTTATCCTCCCGCGTCTCTCAACCCACGGCCCGCGTCTCGCTGGCCATGTTGCCGCGGCAACTTAGGTCAGTCGGGCTAACATTCCGTCCACATTTTTTTTTGGTCAAATTTGCCGTTAATATTTTACTTTAACGCCTCGTGCGACGTTAAACGAATTTAGAGGGAGTACGTAGACACGTTGCGAAGCTCTCTGACGATGGCAGACGCCAATCCGATCGAAGCAAGCGATTTCAATGCAGTTTCCTCGTGATGCTGCGGTGAGGCATGGACTGGCGCGTCGTCACCTCACAAACAAGAACTCCGTTGACAATCTTTTAAAAATACCAACACATGAGTCCTGCTTTTGCGAACAGTCAAATGGGCCTGTTACTCAATAAAATCAGTCAGTGGCCAAGTTCCAGCACTGGGCCTCAGACAACGCCACCCGAAATTCTTTGTAGCCTCGGCTGTGGTATAAAGAGGTCAGCCTGAACACGTCTGACCCAGCGAACGCTTTCAACCTTTTGAACTATTGACATTACAAGATGACGAAACTTTAGCAGATCAGAACAGAGGCGGTTTGCCATGGCCCACTTCGCTGAAATCATTGCCTAACCTAACCTCGGACATTCACGCAACATTACGCAACAACACAAGACCCTACAAACAACGAAGGTGCCTTCTCCGGGCATCAGAGCGAAGAACCTGCGAGGTCGCCCTCGACCTCCCCCGCCGAGTTGCCTGGCGCTTCCCTCTCCGTTCCAAAGCCCACGGCGCACGTCAACTCAACGCAAAATAATAATTTAGAATGTTCGTCGGATGATTTGCTAATCTAAGATTGGCGTAATTTTTGAGGCGATGAGAGACCACGAAGAGCCATTTCGGTAAAGCGGTTTGGCATTTCGAAATGATGAGACGCCTCTGGGTGGAGCACGCGTAAAAAATATGGCGCTCACAAGACTCGCGACCAGAGTCCACAGGCACGGGAGGAAGATTTCGCTTCAATGGAGCTCCGACAATTTTGGTCCCGCGCAAGTAACACCCTACCTCATTACCCCTTTTTGGATGAAATCGCGGCTGGTCTAGGGGTTCTCACTCTGAGGCACGCCATTACCATTTCAGCACCATGCATACATGAAGATGGAGGCAGTGTGACCCTCCGAAAGGTTTCCATCACAAGTCAGTGTGACCCAGAAGACCAACACCGACGTCTCGGCCTTCACGTGTTACGAGCAAAGGCGCTCTTTAAATAATCAGAGCGGAAAATACCTTCTCAGCTGATCTCTCGCAACCCTTCGGTTGCAACATTCCGACTGCTCCTTCGTGCTGAATGAGTTTACATTTTCATAAGTCAGAATTCTATGAAGCGTATTTACAGGAAGTTCCCGCATTAAGGGCGTCTTCTTGCACAGAAGCAACGACGGAAACAAAAGTCTCGTCCGTCTTCTGCCCTCCGCATTACTAAACGTCGCTATTAACATCGCCCGAAATTTTAAAAAAATGCAACAGTCGTAAGTCAGGTCATAGCTCGAAAGCGAAGCGTCTGAGGACCCGCGTTCACACAGACATTTTTCGTTCTTTGTTGTGGTCTACGTGGTAACCGGTAAGTGACTACAAGTCAATGACCGCTGCTCGTTTTCCTACATTTCACGATTACAGTGCGCGGTTTTCGCAAATTCTGGATGATAACTCAAAGTAACGAACTATAATGTTGAGATTTACGAAGATTCTTGTGAAATTCATGAAAAAAAGAAAGAAATAAAGGCGCTGGAAATTTATGGAAGCCTCCGAAAGTCCCAGTAACTCTAATCCATTCTAGTGCATTCGCTTCGACTTTCAGTTTTGGCCGGTTTCAACGATTCGAGAGCGAGAAACAACTTAGTGGAGACCGTCGAATATCTGGACGACCGAGTCACCTTCTTCCTGGGCTACAGTAACGATCCCTGGGGAACATCCTCGAAGCGGCTGGAAGCGGAGAGTCAGTTGCTGCAGGCGCCTGAGGAAGAGCCGGGGCAGGGCTCCAAGCGCCGGAAGAGAGGCGTGCTACACCTGTACAACATGGTCCTGTGCGCCACAGGTTGCGACCCTCTGGCCTTCAAGGGCTACGGCTGTTACTGCGGCTTCCTTGGCTCCGGGTACACCGTCGACGGCATCGACAGGTAAGAAACGCCCCACTTCATTCAGACAAAATTAATTTACCCCCGTGGCTCTGGGGCCGGCGAACAAGCTCCAGGGCGAATTCGAAGGAATGGGGAAGTGGTCGTGGCGTATTTCAATACTATCGGCATTCAGCTGAAGAACCTCGAACGAGCTTGGGCAGAGCAGTTCTTGCTCCTTCTTAAATATTTAAATGTTAATTATGGTAATATTTTAATATTTAATAGGAATTTTATTGTGATTAGACTGATAAGATTTAAACAAATAAACAAATATCCTTCTACAGTGTTACGAGGAAGAAAAGTTGGCCTGGACTCTGCCGTCAGGAAGTTCCAGGCCAACCGAAACGTCTCTCGGTCTGGTCCCTCCACTGCGCAATCGCGTGTTTAAACGCCGTCCTCCTGCGACGGATTAGAGCTCGAAGTTGCCTCCATTAGTTCTAGACCTCGCCGATCACTCGCCTAGTGCCGCTGTGTGTGTCCCCTTGCAGGTGCTGCAAGATGCACGACCGCTGCTACAACACCGCGCGCTGTCCGATGTACCTGGAGTACTTCGTGCCCTATCTCTGGAAGTGCTACAGGAGGCGCCCCCTCTGCGGTGAGTCACACGACGTTTCGGCAGCTGGCTGTGCCTCCGTCAGATGCGGATAGCCGGCTTCCGAAACGTTGTCCAAATGCAAAATGTATGTATGATGTAACCATAAACAATGTTACGAAATGTCTGTTCGCGAAATATAAACCCTTTAAAAATGCCAACGTCCTTGTAAACAGCGTTCTGAGCAAGAACATTTATCAAAAATGCAGAGTCGTCTTTAATTATCCTCTGTCAGAATCAAATGTCGAAAAAGTACTAATTCGGCGTTTGAATACGTTAAAACGGAAAAAGGTATCAATAAAGTGTTCAAAGGTGCAGTCGAATTGCAAACATGAGCCCACAAAGTAGCAAATTTTACTTGACTGCTTCGAGTACGGACGAATTCTTCCGCGTATTAATGTAGTTCCAGTTAATGTTCTAATCTGGGTCGTAAATTGCGTACAGAATTGTCAGACTGCAAAACCTTAGCCACGAGTACTATTAAACTTTTGTCAGGCAAATACTAATAAATATATAGAACATACACAGAACAAAATCAAGCCAAAAACAATAATTAATTAAATATTTAATCTGAACACTCCTCCGTGTTGAGGATATGTCTCCTTCTTTTGCTAAAAAATATCCAGAAGTCTGCAAGTCATTTTTCATCAACGGCGCATCTGATTAAATGTTTTCTTTCACTGTTCACTCTGAAGTAAAAAAATCTACTTGCATTGCAGGAACACGAAGACGAACAGGATTCATGATGGAATGTCAATTTATTTTGTCCTTGGTAGCATTATTAAGAAAAATGTCGAATCGTCATCGTTCCGAATGAAGTGTTCCAAGACGCAGACAACTCATAATTGCATAATTTCAATTAAATTCAATTTCAAACTGAAAACACAATTTTGACAAACTGGCATTTGTGTGTGTGTGTGTGTGTGCGTGCTGTCAGTTCTGCCAATCAATGTAAAATTATTGCAAACGACAGACATGAGAGGGATCTGAATTGCCAGTTTACGAACGTAGTGTCGCCGGCGAATACTGCATGGTTTCTGATACATAAAGCTTTTTCAACGTAAATAAATACTTTCTATAAAATCAAACCGTTTGGGACTCACACGCTGTTAATAGGCTTATGTTGTACATAACCTTTTCTAATACTTTAGAGAAAACAGTTAACAATATGATACGCCTGTAGTTAGTCATACAAGATTTGTTCCTATGTTCCAGCGGTTTCACTATTCAGACTTCATGACGATCACGGAAAATACGCGAAGACTCTTGACATCGGATGTGGCATTTTACAACTGAATGCAAACCTATGTTTCCTCGACCTTGGGTTAGAGCAAACACAGCTGAAAAATGCGGTTTCGAGCGGACTGCTAGAAAAATCAAAGTTCAGAACATACTAACCATTAATTTTTGTTACGAGGACGTCACTACTAACTCGATTTCACCGGCGAAACACAGAGGCCGTTGACCCAAAGCACACTGCTAATGAGAAACTTGATGCGACTAACCTTACTGACATGGCAGCAACCGTGTCCTTGAGGGACCATAAGGTCTTGTCTCACATTGTAGCAGCTTCTAGGAGCCAGCTAATCCTTGCAGTCTGTTCTGTAGACGCTGTATTATGGCGTCAGTACGGCATACCAGGACCTCCACCGTTCCACCTTACACACACAAAAGCACTTCTCGCCCGTTCCATTTTAAAACTTACAGCCGATGACATTCACTTGTATATTTGTATTAACAGCACACCTTGTCGAATAAAGCACAACTGTGGCATAGCACAGAGGGCAATACAGTAGCTAATACACAGCCCTCTGACTGCCGGTGTTCAACTTTCAACTGTCCAATTCATGTCCGTATTCGCAATCACCCGGCACGTAACTCTTGCGGTGGCACGGTGTCTAAATACGTTAATAAACATGGAGTTTAGAGAAGAACTTGTGAGCCTACTTTCCTTTAAATACTATTATTCTGTGTACAGAGGGTAATTATATAAATTGCTGACACTCTGTCCATATTTCTTCAGTTATTAATGTTCACTGCCTGAACCTTGCACTTTTTAAAAATGTTTACAGTTGCACATAAATATCACGGTTGCCAACACGTTCACCAAATTCACCATGTCTACTTTCTCATTACGATATATGGAGGGGATATATAATTTTATGAATTAGAATGGGTATTCGATCAATTCTATAAGTAACACATGGAAATACTGTTAAGAGATTTCAATGGAAAAACAGGTATATTTAAAAATCAGTTCAGAATGATGTCAAACAAAAGCAGCAAACTTTGCCACATCAAAATCTCTAGTTGTCAGGAACAGGCCTTTAAACACATTTGGACTCAGGATTTACTGTGCACTGATTAAGAAGTTACTTAAACATTTTAATATCAGCTGCATCACAGATACAATTTGCCTTCTGTATGGGAAGATGAGCAGAAAAGTTTCTTTTGTTTCCAGCAATTGAACAAGACAGATGGAGTGAGTGGGGCATATGTGCACAGAGGCTGTGTGAGTGTGACCGTCAACTGGCCGAGTGCCTGCGCAGATATCCTTGTCCCAGAACAAAGGCCGTTTGCACCTCTTCACCCTGGAGACTGCTGCAGAATGTGTTCATGCTCTGAGTGAACTGTATCAGGGATTGAGCAGAGGTGAAAGCATGCTATAACCCC